CTGCTTGTGGGTAGGGCTTCTCAATGTTTCACCATTGAGTTGGTCCCACCCTCTTACGTGTCTCAGTTTCTCTATTTGGGGGTCTTGTACCTCCGAGTGGGCTCAAAATGCTGGGTGATCAGCTCTTATATGTGTTTCTTGAACGAGCATTCTTTTAATTAATTTGTTGGGGAGGTTCCCTGTGGGGCTACTCTTGCCTCGGGGAATCACCCCAGGCAACTCTCATTTAGGGCCCTGGTTGCCCAGGCCTTAGGTCTGGGAGGAGTAAGCTGCCCCTTATCTTCAGAGCTGAGAAACTCAGTCTGTCATCTATTTACAAATAGGACAGTTGGGTTCTTTGCTAAATGCGCAGACAAGCCAATTGAAACTAGTTTTGAGAGGAAAAAAGGCAACGGAGAAAGCCCTTTAGAGTGCACCTCTAAACCTAAATTAGGATCCCAAACAACAATTTCTAGGAAAAGAGCCAGCTCAGAATAAACCAAGACCATCAACCAAAAAACGGGAGGTCCGGATCTCAGGAGGACTTACCAGTCCCGCTAAAGGAGAATCTCGGAGTCAGAGTCCTAAAAGGGCCATGCTGGTACCTGGCGTCAAGTCCGTGCTGCTCCTTAGGCGGTCTTGCGTCTTCTCTGAGATCCTGTCAACTACGCCAAAATTGTCAACGGAATAAAAACCAAACTCTGTAAAATAATTTTAAAGAGATTTATTCTGAGCCAAATTTGAGGACCATGACCCGGAGCCACTGCCAAGAGGCCTTGGGCAAGTGGACTCACTGTGGCTGGGTTACAGTTTAGTTTTATGCATTTTCAGAGAGACAGGGGTTACAGGCAAAGTCACAAATCAATACATGAGAGGCATACATTGGTTTGGCCCAAAAAGGTGGGACATCTCAAAGCGGAGGGGGTGGGGGGTTTACAGGTTATAGGTGGGTTTAAAGATTCTTTGGCTGGCAATTGGCTGAGAGAGTTAGACTTTATCTAGAAGACCAGAAAGGATGTGCTTACTTTAAGAAAAGGGTATGAGCACTCTGGGAGGTCCAGACAGGAGGACATTTTAAATTTACAATAGGCGCCTGCTAAGATACTTGAGTTAAAATATTTTAAATTTATGATAGGCATCTGCTAGGATGCTTGAGTTAAGACAGGGGCTTTCTATCTTTTAGGTGATGTTAATGCCATACCAGAATCAGGTTGGGAAGTAAACCACCGCTTTATTTGGTTAACAAAAGCCGCTTAGTAGGAATTTACCATTTGTCAGCCTAACCCAGCTGGCCTCCTTAGGAAAGAGTTTTTAGCAAAAGAAAAAGATCAGAGTTCAGTCCTCACTTTATATCTAGAAACACAATGTAGTTTACCTTAATTAAAAAATACTTTATTGCTAAAAACTGCTAAGGATCATTAGCCTTCAGCAAGTTGTCATGTTTTTGCTGGTGGAGGGTCTTTCCTCAATGTTGATGGCTGCTGACTGATGAAGGTGGTAGTTGCTGAAGGTTGAGTGGATGTGGCAGTTTCTGAAAATAAGACAACAGTGAAGTTTGCCAATTTGATTGACTCTTCCTTTCACAAAAGAGTTGTTTGTAGCATGCAATGGTATTTGATAGCATTTTACCCACAGTAGAACTTCTTTCAAAATTAGAGTCAATCTTCTCCAACCTTTCCACTACTTTATCAACTAAGTTGATATCATATTCTAAATCTTTGTTGTAATTTCAACAATGTTTGCAGCATCTTTACTAGGAGTAGATTTCATCTTAAGAAACTGGCTGGGCATGGTGGCTCACACCTGTAATCACCGCATTTTGATGGGGGGATCCCTTGAGGCCAGGAGTTCAAGACTAGCCTGGGCGACTTAACAAAAACAAAAAAATTTTAAAAATTAACTGGGCCTTGTGGTTTGTGCCTGTATTCCTAGCTACTTGGGAGGCTGAGGGGAGGAGGATCACTTGAGCCCAAGAGTTACAGTGAGCCACTGCACTCCAGCCTGGGTGACAGATGAAGACCTTGTCTCTTTTAAAAAAAAAAAAAAAAAAAGAGGGAAAAAAAGATACCACTTTGTTGTTCATCCATTCACATTTGATCATGGGATTGCAGCAGTTCAGTCACATCTTCAGGCTCCACTTTTAATTCTAGTTCTCTTGCTGTTTCTACCACATCTGCAGTTACTTTCTCCACTGAAGTCATGAACCCCTCAAAGTCATCCATGAGAACAGGAATCAACTTCTTCCAAACTCCTGTTAATTCTGATATTTTGATCTCCGCCCATGAATCACAAATGTTTTTAGTGGCATCTAGAATGGTGACCCCTTTCCAGAGGCTTTCAGTTTACTTTGCCGAGATCCATCAGAGAAATAACTCTCTATGGCAGGTATAGCCTTACGAAATGTATTTCTGAAATAATAAGACTTGAGAGATGAAATGACTCCTTGATCCATGGACTGCAGAATGTATGTTGTGTTATCAATCATGAAACAACATTCATCTTGTACATCCCATCAGAGCACTTGGGTGACCAGGTACACTGTCAGTGAACAGTAATATTTTGAAAGGAATCCTTCTTTCTGAACAGTCTGTCTCAACAGTGGGCTTGAAATATTTGGGTAAACCGTGCTGTAAATAGATGTGTTGTCGCCTAGGCTTGTTACTCCATTTCTAGAACACAGAGAGTAGATTTAGCATCATTCTTAAGGGTGCCTTAGGATTTTCAGAATGGCAGATAAACATTGGCTTTAATTTAATGTCACGAGTGGCATTAGCCCCTAACAAAGGAAAAGCTTGTCCTTTGAAGCCAGGTTTTGACTTCACCTCTCAAGCTAGGAAAGTCACAGATAGCATCTTCTTCCAATATAAGGTTATTTTGTCTGAACTGATAATTTTTTGTTTAGTGTAGCCACTTTCATCAGTGATCCTAGCTAGATCTTCTGGATAACTTACTGCATCTTCTATGTTATGGAGATGGCTTTTTTCCTTAAACCTCGTGAACCAAACTCTGGTAGCTTCAAAGTTTTTCTACAGTGCTTCCCTACCTCTCTCAGCCTTTATGAAATGAAAGATAGTTAAGGCCTTGCTCTGGATTACGATTTGGGTGAAGGGAATGTTGGGTGAAGGGAATGTTGGGTGAAGGGAATGGGTTTGATCTATCCGGATCACTCATACTTTCTCCATGTCAGCAGTAAGGCTGTTTCCCTTATTATTCTTGTCTTCACTGGAGTAGCACTTTTAATTTCCTTCAAGAACTTTTCCTTTATATTCACAACTTGGCTAGAGACACTAGGGGTCTGGCTTTCAGCTTGTGTAGAGACTTTGGACAGGCCTTCCTCCCTAAATCATTTTGAGCTTTTGATTTAAAGTGAGAGATGTGTGAGTCTTCCTTTGACTTGAACACTTAGAGGCCATTGTAAGGTTGTCACCTTACAATGGTAGGTTCAGTATTGTTGAAGTTCAAGGAGAGGGGAAGAGACAGGGAATTGCTGGTCCGCAGAGCAGTCAGAACACACATAACAGTTATCAATTAAGTTAGCTGTTTTATATGGGTGGGATTATGACGCCTCAGAACAATTAGAATAGTAACAAAGATCACTGATCACAGATGACTATAACAGATATAATAATAATGAAAAGTTTGAAATATTGCAAGAATTACTGAAATGTGACACAGAGGCATAAAATGAGCACATGCTATAGGAAAAATGCTGCCAGTAGACTTACTTAAGGCAGGGTTGCCACACACCTTTAATCTTTGAAAAGTAGATCTAGCTACTTTGGAGGCTGAGGCAGAAGGATCGCCTGAGGCCAGGAGTTCGAGGCTGTAGTTTGCTTTGATTACACCTGGGAATAAATAGCCACTGCACTCTAGCCTGGGTAAAATAGGAAGACCTTGTCTCTCTTTTTTTTAAAAAAAAATAGCAAAACTGCAGTATCTGTCAAGTGCAATAAAACAAGGTATACCTACACTTCCTAGAGAACAGAAATGCAAACACATTAGGGATCACATAACACATGATAAATTGTATGTGGGACAGACATTTTAGCCTTTATTGTACTACTTTAAATACTGTTTTGGTGAGTAAACATTCTCAATTTACTTAATTTAGCAAGTAATGAATAGAACCCTATACTGTATATTTCTTACATGTCTATTGCCAGGCACTTAATGTACTTAGACAAGAAATTTTTTAAATGCTACAGCATAGTAATAGGTTATCTTAATAAAATACTTACTGATTGTTTTGTACAAGTAAATATGAATTTAAAATTTTTATATTTTGAATATCTAGGTGGATTGTTACTTGGAGTAAATGCTAAGTAATATTTTTTGCTAAATTTCTCATTTATTTGGGGAGCATGAAGAATGCTTTATCTTAATTTTGAATCACCTTTGTAAGGAAGGTACAGTGCAAAACCTAGGCAATGCTCATTGCCAGATTTAAGAACCACTGCTTTAGTAAGTTGTCATTTTGGTTTGCTGCAAGGAGGACAGTGCTCATTTGGGACCCCTATGTTTGGGACAAGGTACTACTTTCATTTAAAAAAAATTATGGAAAAATAAACTGGAATAAGTTATGAGATGTTTAAATGTAACTGCAACAAAAATCTTTGTAATTACCATTGTTTTATGTTGGCAGGGTTTGTGTGACTGCTCTTCTGCTAAAATAGCTTAGTAAGTAAGCCTTGTCAGTTTGATTCATACACTACCAAAATATAGTTAACTTACACTGAAATTGACTCCTTTTAATAAACTGGAGGTAGCTCCAGCAACTAGATAGCATTCTCTTTTCATACTAACGCAGAATAATGTATAGTAGCAGTTAAACATTTTTAATCTCATGAAAGCATATTAGTTTTCTTCTTTTTCTCATGAAGGACTAATGATTTACCACAGTAGAATTTTTTTTCAGCTTTTTGATGGCAGTGTCAAAAAAGTATACATTTCATTTATAATGTACAATGCAAGTGGAGAATATTACAGTTGTGTTTCTCACTGTTGCCTTATTTTGCCCACAGCACAAGTGGACGTGCTGTCTGCTGCGCTGCGTGCTTCTAGCCTGGATGCTCAGGAAGAGACCAGCAGTGCAGAAAAGAAAAGTGATTTGCAAGATGAACCGGGTATAAATGAGCTACCAAATTGTAAAATAAATCAAGATGATTCTGTGCCTTTAATCAGCGATGCTGTTGAGGTAACAAACTCAGTAAAGTGTTTACCGAGTGAGAGCAGTTTGAATTAGAAGTCTTTTATTGGGAAATAGTTGTAGCTAATCACTTTCAGTTAGTATATTCTGTTTGTTGCTGGTTTTTTAGCTTTTCCTTTTGCATAAAGTAAAAGTAATTGTTTTTTACCATATCCTGTCCTTGTGACATTAGTGTCATATGAAATGCCTGGAAAACTAAATCCCAGTCCTGTCTCTATGACTATTTTAGTAGACACAATGTTAATGTAGCTCACTGCAGTGAAATAGTCTTACTGGAAACAAAGCCCTTTGTCAAGAATAATTAACTCTTCCCTTTTCTTTTTGGAGAGGTGCTTTGTTTCTGATCGGAACATTTCACTGCAGCAAGCAACACAGTATTCTGAGCAGAAGATCGGGACTTGAGGCCATGTTGCGGAGGGCCAGTGGCATTATCTGGACTCTGGAGTGTGAGGGTGGGTACTGTTCTAGCACCATCTTCCCTGTGTACTTGTAGCTGTTCTGTATGATCCTCCCTAATTTCCTACTACGACCCCATAAAGCCAGCATCATTTGGCATTGGTATTTCTTACCCCTTATTTATATAAACTCAGAGAAGGAATATACCACTGATTGCCAGAATCAAATGGTCACAGACTGTAGTGGCTTAAATGACAAGCTCAGCAAAGAGCCTACACAAACATTGGGGCTGGCGAGAGGGTTCTTAGAGCTTTAGTGTATTTCTGTTTTGCTTTTTGTTAGGTGACATCTGGTATATAGTTAGAAATCTGTATAATACCAGTGCTTGGAATGAAACCTTGACCATTTTTTTGAGATTTGAATACTATATCTATATTTTAGATATAGATGTTTTTAGATGTTTTTGGTTATTGTTTTTGGCTGCTAAAAAATCTATATTTTGAAATTAGATATTAACAGCCAAGAATAGAAATAGAATAAAAACTACGTATGCATGGTCTCTAAAACAGTTGAGCAGAACTCGCTCAATAATATTTTATTAATATAAGTAAGCTAATTTGAGCTATTTGGATCATTTCAAAATTACGTTCAAATTTACTTTTTAATTACTCTTATTGTCCTGGAATTTGTTTTCATACATTTGGCAACTTATTCAGCACATTTGATTTAAGGCTGGGAAGGTTCTTAAAAGGTCTTTGTATATTTAGAAACTTTTAAAACATGAGGAATGTATATGTATATCTTTTGTCAATCTTGAAAGGTAAGTAACTTAGTAAGACAATTTAAGTGAAGAAATTTGGAATAGCTCTAAGTAGACATTTTTCCTAACAGAGTGTGGACTCCACTCTTCGCTGTATTCATGATGATTCAGACTTGAGCACCAGTAGTGGTCTCAGCCCTGATGAGGAAAGGAGAACTAAAGTCCAAGTGAGTAACAAAAAATGTTTTCTTTTTTGTGTGTTCTTAATTTCTCTTTCTAAGTCATATTTTCAGTAAGAAAATTAAAACAAGAGAACACACAAGCACAGATGTTCCCCTTCCCACCTGTGAGCCCCTTCTTTATTCAGAGTGACCACGGATCACAGTCCTGCCATGTCCCTTGGTACACTTTTGTGTGCACATAAACATGCACATATGCCCTTTTTTATCTTTCAGAGACACCTATAAGTATCCTATCCTATCTAGGTATTTCCTCATGCCTAAGTTGCCAAAAATTATAAAATACAGCTTGGGTAGGCGGTGGCTCACACCTGTGATCCCAGCACTTTGGGAGGCAGAGGCAGGAGGATTGCTTGAGGCCAGGAGTTTGAGACCAGCCTGAGCAACATGGCAAGACCCCATCTACAAACAAACACACACAAATACAAATATAGTTCAATTTCAGAGATTAAAATATGAAAAAATGGCTCAAAGCTATTTTAAAGCGCCATCAATAACAGGTGCAATGAAAATACACTTATGGAATCATTGGTATATGAGTCTGTGTCTTGTCTTGCTCTTCTTTCCTTTTCTAAAAATGTATCTTGGGGCTCTTTCCTCTGAGCACACCAGGACACCCTCGCAGCAGCACAGCACAGTGTCCTCACCACACCGTCTTCCATTGTAAGAGTCGTTCCAGAGATGCTTCCAGTTGTAGTTTTGCTTTAATGTCACAGCAGTGCTGTGTTCATCATGGTTTTCTACACATGTTGTTTACTTCTGGGACTATATTATTATTATAAGTAGATTTCCTAGATCCAATGGTATATGTTCTCTTTATTATTGTTTATTTATTAAAAATGTAGTTAGTATTCATGGTGATTTTTTTTTTCTTTTCCTTTTTTGAAGACAGGGTTTTGGCCCAATCATAGTTCACTATAATCTCCAACTCCTGGGCTCAAGCAATCCTCCTGCCTCAGCCTCCTGAGTAGCTAGGACTACAGCCATGCGCCACCACACCCAGCTAATTTTCTAGTTCTTTTGTAGAGACAGGGTCTTGCTATGTTGCTCAGGCTGGTTTCAAACTCCTGGGCTCAAGCAGTCTTTCTGTTGCAGCCTCTTAAGTAGCTGGGATTACAGACAAGCGCCACTACCCCTGGCTATTTCTGTTTTAAGATGTTATTCATTGTTGTTCTCCTAGAGTTGCTTTTACTTATAATATTTATATATATGTTTCCCTTAGCATGTTTTTCTTATCTCTTTCCAGTTATTAGATACCAGAAACTTTGACATTAGTTTTTTTCCTGCTATTTGAGAGGCTGTGTTAAAATCTACATATTTAAAAATAATTTTGCCTAATTTATGTTTAAAGTGCTCGAAGTGCATCTAAATGCTAAATTGCTCTCTCTCTTTCCTCTTCAGGATGTTGTACCTCAGGCTTTATTAGATCAGTATTTATCTATGACTGACCCCTCTCGCGCACAGACGGTTGACACTGAAATTGCTAAGCACTGTGCATACAGCCTCCCAGGTGTGGCCCTGACGCTTGGCAGACAGAATTGGCACTGCCTCAGAGAGACGTATGAGACTCTGGCGTCAGACATGCAGGTGGGTACAGCAGTTAAAGAATTAACAGAATGGGCATGTGGAAGGCATAGTGTTTTGCCTTTCAAAACCTACAGAATTCCTATTTGTATTCTGGCGTGTATTTAGTGTTGCAGGAAATTATGTATTGAGCAGCTGGAAAGTCACACCAGAGAATGTTCTTTTTACACTGTCAGAGGTCCACAGTTTGGCTTCTTCATTTTTACTTAAAGCAATAGAAATTGATACCACATTCAGCATGCCTAACTTACGAATATGTAAAGTAGGAATGATATTAGTTAGCCTTTGACATGTGGGATGTCTGTACATCGGGGTCTAATGTTCAGATAACTGCAAAAAACTATTTTACTAATGATTTACAAGCATTTTTTCCCTTCATATATGAAAAGGAGATAATACATACATACTATGCAGGGATTTAAAAATGTCACACCTTTTGATACATAATAGGCATTTAAAACTTAGTATCTATTATTACTGCTATTCTGATTTAATCTTTTGAGATGAATAACATTCAGATATAAATTAGCTTTCATATATTATCTATAAGTTAACGTACTGAGCACTTTGTGTTTAGCTTACTAATGCAGTTTTCATTTCTGCAGTGGAAAGTTCGAAGAACTTTAGCGTTCTCAATCCATGAGCTTGCAGTGATTCTTGGAGATCAGTTGACAGCTGCAGATCTGGTTCCAATTTTTAATGGATTTTTAAAAGACCTTGATGAAGTCAGGATAGGTGTTCTTAAACACTTGCATGATTTTCTGAAGGTAACTTTTTAATTCCTTGCATATAGACACTTTAAAATTCTACTGTAAATCTGAAGCTTTATTTTCTGCTACTACCAAGATAGGTTTCTGTATGTCCCTATGTAAGAAAATATAGCCATGAGTTGATGGTAAGATATGACTTAAAAAAGAATTAGTCTCATAATTATGCTAAGTTTTATTTTTAAAATGATGTTAGATCATAGTTACAAACATTTGTCCCGTTTTTATTTTCAAAGTTATTGACTAAAATATATATGTTAAAAAAATGTTATGAACTACAGTCCTCAGTATACGTGGGAGATTGGTTTCAGGACCCCCATGTATACCCGAATCTGTACATACTCAAGTCCGGCAGCTGGCCCTCCATGCGCACAGGTTTCACATTCCTTGATCTGCATTTGGTTGAAAAAAGTCTCTGTTTAAGTGGATCCACGAAGTTCAGGGTTAACTGTATATCAAGTTTGGAGGCTTTATGGTGTTTAAGGAATCTGAGGATTTACCTTTAGGCCTTGCTCCTTTGATATGGGATCTCTGGTGTCCAAAGCCCCAACTTTTGACAAATTATTTAATCCTGGAATTAAATAAATTAAAAACTGTTGTTTTTTAGACTTCAGCCTTGAAATTGACTCTGATAATTCTAAGGTTTGAGGTGCAGAAGTAATTGTAATCTAATTTTTAAAAAACATTGATACCTTGTTATATTTTATATAGATCATATTGAAATTTTTCTAATTATCCCAATAATGTCCTTTATATAGCTTTTCTCCTCTCAATTCATAATCTCATCAGTAAGTGTGTATTGAATTTAAGTGTTTCTTTAGTCCTCTTAAGTCTTGAACACTTACTCTGACTTTCTGTTTTTAATGTCATTAGCATTTTTTTTTTTTTTTTTGAGACAGTCTCACTCTGTTGCCCGGGGTAGAGTGCCTTGACATCAGCCTAGCTCCCAGCAACTTCACACTCCTGGGCTCAAGCGATGCTCCTGCCTCAGCCTCCCAAGTAGCTAGGATTATAGGCATATGCCACCGTGCCTAGATAATTTTTTGTATATATTGTTAGTTGTCCAGCTAATTTCCTTCTATTTTTAGTAGAGACGGGGCCTCGCTCTTGCTCAGGCTGGTCTGGAACTCCTGAGCTCAAAAGATCCTCCCGCCTCAGCTTCCCAGAGTGCTAGGATTACAGACATGAGCCACCGAGCCCACCCAGCCTTCATTGGTACTTTTGAAGAGTCTAAACCAGTCATTTTGCAGATTGCCTCTCAATTTGAATTTAAGTGTTTTTATAGTTTGATTCTGGGTAAAGGTTCAGGTTTTTTTTGCATACATATTACCTGTCTATACAGGTCATCATGTGCTTTTCCAAATGCATCATGTCAGGAGTAATTTGATGTTGGTTCTTCCTGTCATTAGTGATAAGTCTCATAACTTGGCTATGGCGGTGTCAGCTCAGTTTCTCCATTGTAAAGTGCCCTTTCACCTTTGCAATTACTAAGTAATGGTGAGGTGCCCTTTTGAACTCTGAATATCTTTTTCCTGAGTTTTTGATCCAGTGCTCTTGCATCCATGCACCCATACTTGCATGGTTCTTTCCCGAATCAGTTGTTACTATCTTGGTTGTGAAATTGATTTTCTATTTTCATAATTCCTTTCATTTTTATCAGTTAACATTCTAATGTAAAGAGAAGCTGTTCCTTCTCTCTCCCCTTTTTTGAAAGCATTTTTTAACATCAGTATGGACTCTAGTATTTTTTTAATTCAGTGTAATATAATGTAATCCACTTCTGTCCTTTGTTTTGAGCATCACAGTTGGCTAGTGGGAACCCCTTAAACTGCCTCTTGTGTCCTTTTCATTTGCCTGTCCCCTTGTTTTAAAGCACATCCTTGCTATCAGGCCTAGCTTCTCCTTGCCTCGCCCCAGCCTGGAGTTAGCTATTTCTCCAAGGAGCCTGGACCTTTTTAGTGGAGAATGGTCTTTAGAAACCAAGATCTGGGCACTAGATGTGGTCATTGCTCCCTGGGTATTATTTCTTTTAGGCCTTTTCAGGATACAGGAGCTAGGAGGTTTATTGGGTTTTTTATTGAATTAAATTCATATTTTCTGAAATGAGCTACTTCCGGTTCGATACCATTTCCTCTCCCTTCTTCACTTTATTTTTTAATTTTCTCTTATGGTAAAAACTCTATTCTTAACAACATTAATGCATTTAGTCATTTCGTCAATTCGACAGCATAATGTGAAATAATTTCAGAATCCCTCCACCAAATAACACCAACATCAAATCAACTAATGTTCAAGATTTCCTTCAGCACCTTCTGTCATTAAAACCTATCCTGTGAAGGTACAGGAGCAGGGCACTAAGTGCAGCATTGTGTGATTGTTACCTGTTCGATTTACAGTTAGACTCAACTTGCTTCCATTTGTATAAAATTTCAGGGTTTTCCCTCTTGTTGACTATAAACCTACTTTTAAATATAGAGCAGCTATTAGGATACATTTCTTTTCATTTTTTTTCACTCAACAAATACTGAGTACCTGGTGTGTGCCATCATAGTGCTGTACAACTGGGCTCACGTATGTGCCTAAGAGCATAATCACTGTTTACAGAGAGTTCATGATAACATGGGTGTCGTGTGAACAGAGAAGAGTACCACGGTAATAAAGCCATGCCCAGGTTCCTGTGTGCTTCAGTGCAGGCCACTAACATGCTCAGGAAACAAAGATTCCAAAAGAACATGACTCCTGAAGGCAGATGGAATTATTCAGGGAAAACACATTTAATACCAATTTTTAAAATAAATATAGGCACTACATTTCTTCTTCCAAAGAATTAACCATATCACTTATAGTCTATTTTCAAGCATTCTAGTAAAAGGAATAATGTCTATACCTTGTCCTGGTAAATATTGTTATTTTGTTTCTTCAGCTGCTTCATATTGACAAAAGAAGAGAATATCTTTATCAACTTCAGGAGTTTCTGGTGACAGATAATAGTAGAAATTGGCGCTTTCGAGCTGAACTGGCTGAGTAAGTTCTCACAATTCATTATATTATGGTTTCTGGATTATGGTTTGTAATTTATTAGATTATAATTATTAGATTATGTATTTACTTCATTTTTACCTTTTCTGAATTTCTTCATTTGTGTAGATCCAAGTTTCGTGTCTGGTACCCTATTCCTTTAACATTTCTTATAATACAGGTCTTGCTGGCAGTGAATTTTCTCAGCTTTTTTTCTTTCTTGAAAAAGTCTTTATTTCATCTTTATGTTTTTATTATTGTGGTAAAATACACATAACCAGATTTGCCATTGGTGACGTTTAGTACCTTCAGAGTGTCGTGCAACCATTAATCTACTTTCTGTCTATGGATTTGCCTATTATAGATACTTCCTGTAAGTGGAATCATACAATATGTGGCCTTTTGTGTTTGACTTCTCCATGTAGCCTAATGTTTTCAAGAGTTATCCATGTTATAGCATGCATTCAAACTTTCATTCCTTTTTATGGTTGAGTAATATTCCATTTTATGGATATATACCACATTTGTTTACTCCATTCTTGAGGTGTATTTGCTGGGCCATATGATCAAATTCTGTGTTTGTTGAGAAATTGACAGACTTTTTTATAGCAGATGTACCATTTTACATTCCCATCGGCAACATATGAGAATTCCAGTTTCTCTGCATCCTAACACTTGCTGATTTCCATTTTTAAAATTATAGCTATTCTAATGGGTGTGAAGTAGCATCTGACTGTGGTTTTGATTTGCATTTCTCTAATGACTGATGTTGAGCACTGTTTCATATTCTTGTCAGCCATTTACGTATATTCTATGGAGAAATGTCTATTTAAATCCATTGCCTATTGTTACATTGGGTTGTTCATCTTAAACTGTGTTGAGTTATTGAGAGTCCTTTATATATTTTGGATTATAGACCTTACCTGTTTTTTTAAAGGTTATCTTTGCTGGGTATAGAATTGGGGCCTGCCAGTTTCTCTTTTCTTGAATTGTGGCTTGCCCACTCTGACTCAATATGGGCATGCCGCTTCTTCTGCTATTAGTGTGGGGGTGTGAGTCCATCCAGTCAGGATCGGGCTGGGTCTGGATTTTGTTGTTGCTATGGTTACCTTTAGTGTACTATGGGCTTTAATTTTTCTTGCTGTGTGCTGCATTGCCATTTGCTGAGGGCAGGGCTGGCACTGGTGGGCTTTTTCTAGTTTGAGTATTCTATCCTCAGCTTTTCTGTGTAGGGGGCGTAGACTATAGCATGTAGGCTCGAGCTGGGTGAGGGAGGGTCTCTGTGGTTTGAGTTCAGCCTCAGTCTCTGGGAGGCCCTGTGTGCCTGGGCTTTCTCAGAATGCCTGCCCCTCCCCGTGGCATGCAGTCTCTGCCTCATATCTCTGGTTAGTCTTGGGTGGGTTTCCTGCCCCGCCCCTGGCAGTAGGAGAGTTTTGCTTGATGTCAGTGTAGGGTCTTAGCTCGAAAAGGTTTCCTGCTCCTTCACCAGGAATAAAGAGTTTAGTTCTCTTTTCCCCACTGCAACATGTCTTTGCCTGTGCCTGTGGCCTGGGTGGGCTTTGTGCCCCTCTACCAGCACATAAGGCTTTTTTGATTTGTATGAGAAAGGGGGTGGGGAGCTCAGTGTTCATGGCTGTCCCCTGATGTGTCGTTCTCCTCTGCCTGCACTAAGAGACCTCTCTCCTGTTTCCTTTCCTGGTCCCAGTCTTTTTTGTCAGCACCCAGGGGAGGCGAGTACCCTGTGAAAGTTGGAGGGTTTGCACAGGAATGCAAGCTCCCTGTGTCTGTCCCCACCCCCAGCCTTTGTGTATGCCAGCCCCCATTTGGGCCTGGGCAGCTGCTACAACTTTAGCTGATTTCCTCTCCCCTCTTACGTGGCAGCAGGTGCCTCTTCCATCTCTACTGTGCTCAGATGAGACTGTCCCTGTGCCCATCTCTCCTGGGAGGCACTTGCCTCTCTTGGGAAGTTAGGTTATTTGAGTGCCTTGCAACCTCAGCTTTCTGGTGGGCTCAAGAAAAGATTTTGTAGTTTATACAGCTTTTTCTCATTGTAGGTTCAGAGTGACATTCTTTGGAGCTTTCTGTATCCTAAGCAGAAGTTAAAGTCCTGTTTGGAATTTTTATTTTGAACTTTTGTGCCAGAAAACTAATGTGTCTCTCTCTTTGAGGGTTTATGTTTATGTATATATATGGGTACATGTATCATTGCTGCATTATCTATGTTTATAGTTCACTCCCTGCTGATTAGAAATAGAAATAATCTTACACATAAAATTGGAAAAGGCAAGTCTGATTCATATCCAAGGTATTTCTTCCAGGGCATCATCGCAGCTACTCAGGTTAGCCTGGTGGATGTTGGAAAAGTCTTCAGTTCCCCTCAGATGTGGTAGGAGCGTTGCCAGAGGACCCTCTACTTCTGTTACCCCCAGCAGATGTGTCCTATCGTTAGAGGCTGCTCAGAGTCTTGACAAGTACACAGCAGGCTACCTCAGTCTGCTGGAGCTTTCTTATTGAGATGCACGATAAGATGCACGATTTGTAGATGGAATCTTCTCAGCATTCTAAAACCATTACTATGGAAAAATGTGTGCTGTGTTCCAATTGAACATACTAGGAAATGGTTTGCTCTCTCTCAGTCTCTGTGGACACAGAATTCTACAGCTTTTGTTTTCCTTAAGGGGAGGAGAGACTCTAAGGGGAGGAGAGATTCCCTGAACTTGCAGTGTTTAAATGCATTTCCTGATACACAGAGACTAGAGGTAATTCTGTGCCAGAGAGGCCTGCCATAATCGTGCTCTTGCATGTGTTTATTGTATGCACATTCAGTATCCAGTGCTACATACCATTCAGGTGATTAACCTATTTTCATTTTTCTTACTGATTTTTAAACTTACCTTTTTGTAATTTGTTTTTGTAGACAGCTGATTTTACTTCTAGAGTTATATAGTCCCAGAGATGTGTATGACTATTTACGTCCCATTGCTCTGAATCTGTGTGCAGACAAAGTTTCTTCTGTTCGTTGGATTTCCTATAAGTTGGTATGTATTAAACTTCTAAAATTGCAGGTCAGCAAACTATTTTATAAGATCTTAGAACAGAAGCTAGTCCTCGCTTCCCCGTGTTCCCCTCCTAGGTCAGTGAGATGGTGAAGAAGCTGCACATGGCCACACCACCGACGTTTGGGGTGGACCTCATCAATGAGCTTGTCGAGAACTTTGGCAGATGTCCCAAGTGGTCTGGTCGACAGGCCTTTGTCTTTGTCTGCCAGGTAAGTAAGGACCTGCGCTTAACTTCCATGGAGGTTTTTCTCCTGGAACTGTTTCTTTTCTCACGTCCTGCCTCTCACACCCTCTTCCTCATCCTCAAGGAACAGAACTTTACCACCATTTGGCTATTTTTAGGATTGTCTGTGTATCACTGTTGGGCATTTGTCTGGCCCTTGAGCTGGCCTTTCTCCCACAGTCAGCTAAGCTTGTTCTAAAGCTGACATGTACCACACACATGCCACCTGTGCATATGTATGTGTACCATACACATAGCACCCATGTATACATACACACATACACCACACACACACCACACACACACACACCGCAGCGTGGCTCCTACTAGACGGCGCTCGTGTCTGGGCTCGGAGTGCACATGTGAAGGTGAAGTTACAGCTGAGCGCTCCAGGTCTCTGTAGAGTAGTTTAAAAACCTGTGTGTAACTGTTTCTGAGTTCCCAGTACCTGGAATATTGGTTGAAAAGCCAAAACTAAAATACCTGTTAAGCTGTAACAAAACAGTTTGTCAGCTAGTACTGCAGTTCAGTAGCTGAATTGGTGGAGAAATCTAAAGCAGTTACCCTTGTCCCCAGACTGTCATTGAAGATGACTGTCTTCCCATGGACCAGTTCGCTGTGCATCTGATGCCACATCTGCTAACCTTGGCGAACGACAGGGTCCCAAATGTGAGAGTGCTGCTTGCAAAAACATTAAGACAGACTCTACTAGAGAAAGGTAGGTGGGTGACTCTACCGGGAAACGTATGTGGAGAGGGATTCGGGCACTGTGGGGGATGGAAAGTATCACAGCAGAGTAGCTGGGTTCACAGAAAGCGATCTGGTAGAATGAGACATTTTAAGTGGTTCTGGAGGTTCTCCCAAGAGGACAGAAGATTGAAGGAACTTTAAATTAGCACTGTACTGCAGATACATTTTTATCATGGGCATATATCATTTTTATAATTTAAAATATAATTTTTAAAATTTAAATTGAGTATTTAAATTCACCTATGACTGTGGGAACCATGGCCTGGCAGCACCCCCGCCATCGGCACTGCTGTGGGGCCGGGAGCTGCGTGCTGTCCCTCCGCTTCACTTGGCAGGCAGAAGACACATGCCCTGTAGTATCTGTTTTTCTGGAAATTATAAACCCCTCAAGATTCAGGATGTTTTATTTATTGTAACTGCCCTCCCCCAAATGCCTCATAAATATAGTTGAATGCATGAACTCATGAATGAAGCACAGAAGTTTCTAATAGATTTCAAAGAATAAGGGTGAATGAATATTCTTTTTTGCTCCTTTGCCATTTATGTAAAATTTTAAAATAGCAATTAAAGTGAAATGGCTAAAGAGATTTGTTTGGTTTGGGGGTTGTATGTTGTATGAAGCTGATATTTGGAAGTGTTTTTCCTTTTAATAAGCTGATTCATAGCTAAGAATATAATGTTTTAATATATTTATTAGTTTAATACTCCTTAGCTGTCATTGAATATAATGAGATTATCATAAAAAGATAAATCTCATAATTCTCTTTATTCTAGGATTTTTTTTCTATAACAAATCAGTTCAGATTACTGTTTATAATTCAACATGGCATTTGTTTACACTCTTATAAATATGTTTTATAATGACTAGTAAATAATTATACTGGTATTTGACAAAACTCTGAATCGTTAGACCACTGTCATCCATACTGCGCATTTGTCATTTCCAGAGTATTTCCTAGCCTCAGCCAGCTGTCATCAGGAAGCTGTGGAACAGACCATCATGGCTCTTCAGATGGATCGTGACAGCGACGTCAAGTATTTTGCAAGCATCCTCCCTGCCAGTACCAAGATCTCTGAAGATGCCATGAGTACAGCTTCCTCAACCTACTAGAAGGCTTAAGCCTCGGTGTCTTCCCCTCTTCCGCGAGAGCTGAGGCTCGGCGAGTGCTCCACATGCATGTGATCTGGGTGGCTTTGTTGGGAGGAGAGACCTTCCTCTCTTGCAGACTTATTTGCAGGTGCAAGTTGCCTAACCCAATACCAGGGATTTTAAGAGTCAAGAGAAAGTACAGTAAACACTATTATCTTATCTTGACTTTAAGGGAAAATAATTTCTCAGAGGATTCTAATTGTCACCGAAGCCTTAAATCCTTCCGTCTTCCTGACTGAATGAAACTTGAATTGGCAGAGCATTTTCCTTATGGAAGGGACGAGATTCCTAGAGACCTGCATTGCTTTCTCCTGGTTTTATTTATAACAGCCTATAGATGAAATTCTTATAGCCAGAAGGCAGATGTGCACCCGGACGTGAAAGAGACCTTCAGTATTAGCCCTAACTGTTTTCTCCCAGGCACAAGGACCTGTTGGGTTCTGTGGCCAGCTGCCCAGCCCAGCCCTAAGTGTGAATAGTTTCTGACATGTATAAATGGGAAAGGAGATTTTTTTGGATTTCTCCTAAGGGCTTGATGCTAACACTAAAGTAGAATCTGATTTTAACTCTTAAATGCAGCATATTGCTGTACACATTTACAGAACATTTGCTGAGTATCTATGTCCTCATTTTTTTCATGCTGGTCATGACCCGAAGGAAATTTATTAGCACGTATACTGTATGTCAGGTGTTTTTAACTTGATCATGATCAGCTCTGAGGTGCAACTTTTTCTTCACATACTGTATATATCTGTGACCGCTCTTGGGAGTGCTGCAGTCTTTAATCATGCTGTTTAAAACTGTTGTGGCACAAGTTCTCTTGTCCAAATAAAATTTATTAATAAGATCTATATATAGAGAGATATATACACTTTTGATTGTTTTCTAGATGTCTACAAATAAATGCAATTTGTGACCTGTATTAATGATTTAGTATAAAATGGGGAAACTAGATTAAAATATTTGTCTTTTAACTAGTTTAGTAGTTTCTTTGAAATCTGCCTTATGTCCTCTGGGTCGGGTTTGCCCTTGGCAGGGGTGTCCTGGACGCTCCTGAGCCCCTGCCCGCAGCCCCCCCCCCGGGCAGGAGAGCACCATGCTGCCGCAGCTCGGGCCACAGCCCGCTGCAGACCCACGGTGGGGCTTTGTCCTGAAGCTGCTGAGAGACAGGAAGCACCTCTGGGCCTTGGTATTTTAATCTGTAAAATGGGAATCAGTAAAACCTGCCCTGTCTCTCACAGGGTTGTTGGGTCAGGTGTGCAAGGGCTTTTGTAAAGTGCTGTGTGTCGGTTGTTCTTACAAGCCCAGGTTGAAAAACCCTTGGCTTGTGTGACTTGTCCCCATGGTGCTTCTGTGAGTTTGGATTTTACTTGCTCAGCTAGTGGAGACTCCTCAGTGACTCAGAGTAGATTCCCTGGAACCTGGGTGTGGGATTTGGGGATATATAGGCTCCCTCATATAAACGCTATTTACTAATGAGCCTTTGGTTTCTTATTCTTGTGTTATAACCCAGATACGTGCACACTTTGAATGTAAGTGTAAACAATTCTACTGGGAAAGACTCGAATGGATATGTGTGTGCATGGGCAGTATGTCGGTGGTGGGGGTAGCTGCGCGAAGCATAGGCTTGTTGCTGGAGGCCTTTGCAAGCATCGGAGCAGAGACTGCAGGAGAATGTGGCCTCTTGATTTAATATAACCTAATTTTTAGGTACACATTCTCTGCTATTATAATAATATACTTTTGCCCCCCAGGACTTCAGTTCTATAAATTACATTAAAATCATACATTAATAGTTGCATTTTTTTAAAGCAGTGACAATAGTAACAGTATATTTGGGGGTAAAGAACTTAAATTTAAGGTGTGCTAGATAGAGCACCTGAATGTTAAAAAATGCAGAGGCCTGTCGCTCTAACCTTCTTTCTGCTGCTTGGTAATGTGCCCTGCTGAGGAACGCCCTCAGACGTACATCGGGTTTGAAGTGTTCCAAAGGCTCCACTGGAATTTTAGATGTGTCAATGCAGTGAATATAAAAGGCACCTGCGTTGTTTTAACAGCTTTCATGCAGGACCAACAAGGCATTCCCAGTTTGAATAATCTCTAATGAAATTCAAAATAAGAATTTCCCGTCTTTTCATTCCAGCTCTCTCCCTAGTAGTTGCTGTAATGCGCTTCTCTCAGGCGTGTTCTGGGCAGCAGGAGCTGGGCTGAGCAAGGCAGGGCTGGGGGTCCTGTCTCCCAGACAGCCTCCCACTGCACAGGGTCTCCTCCGATGGGAGAAGGCTTGGACTCAAAAAGGAGTATAAGAACAAGCAAATGTAGAAAATTGATTCAACAGTTTTTTGAAATTCCCCAGGAGGTGAACAAAAAAGCAAACCAGTTAGTACTCAAAACCTAATTTCACTATATAAAAATGAATAAAATGTACCAGTTATGTCCTTATAGTTATTTAATATCAGGCAGCTAATCTTAGAAGATACTATGTGATGTCTTAGGACTTCTGAGTGGCTGAGAATGCAGGAGAAAGCTTATTTATCCAAATAGCTTATTAGTCACTGCGCTGGTCACTGCCAGGCGTTCTCCCCTCTCTTCCTAGCCCTCCCCTGCAGGTACATGTGGTGTGGACCCCTCTTCCTGCCCGGCCTGGCTTGGTCCTGGGTCACGGCACCCTCTCCTCATGTGGGAGTTGTTCGTGAGCTTCTGATAGTGGACACTCAGGTTGTGCATGTCTGTGTCCCTCACTGACCACCCAGCCCCCAGAGAACCAGACTTCCGTTGGACTCTGGAGGGCTGGCTGTGAAGTAGCTACCCTTTGCACGTGACCTTTGTCCTGAATTCTTGGAAATATTTCTGTGATGCCAGACCACTGTAGTTTTTCTAAAACCCTCTAACTCTAAATTGGCAAGTGTTGAGTTCCTGAGAAAGCCACCATGCCATGAAGAGCTAAAGCTGCCAGCTCTTGTCATGGAGTGGACTCTTCAGTGTGCCTAGCAGGCACTGGGCAAGTGTGGCACCCACTCTTCTTGCAGGGGAGAGAAGACCTTCCCTGTACCCTCTAGGGGTTCAGTAATTGAGTCTGTTAAATAAACTGACTGTGGACAAGTTAACACGAGAAAAGGTGCACGAATTTCTTATGTGCACAGGAGCATGACATGGAGGGATGAACACCCCACACCCAGTGAGATCTAGAAGCTTAGAGACTCGTGAGGACAGGCAGGGGATGAAGGTGATTTCGGGGAGGGGACATGATTTGGGGGAAAGATTAATGGGCCATCAGAAGAACAGGTGACTTCTGTATGAGAGACTCCCAGGAGGGAGCTCAATGACATCGAGCCTGTTTTGGAGGACCAGTCCCCTCCCCGTGGCTGTTCCCCAGGTGCCCTCAGTTTGAAGTCATCAGCTTATCAGAGCGGCATATTTTGGGGTAGCATTTCCTGAACTCCATTCTCACACCTGGTTGGTTCGGGTCCCACCTTATCTAGGGTGAGATGAGCCTATAGGGGAAGGAGCTGGGGGTTCCATGCAAGGTTCCAGGACACCGGGAAGCAGTGAGTCAAAGGGAGAGAGAGGGGACATCCCAGTGACTCAAAGCCAAGTAGATAGCCCCTTTAAAATTAATCCTCTGACTCAGAGTAGAAATTGAGTCTGGAATTAATGTGGAAAAGCAAGACTTGAGACATCTGCTGTCAGCCCTTGTTATCCTGCTAGACCAACAGCCAGGGCCACAAGGAGCCCCAGTCGAGGTGGCCAGGCCTTTGTCATGGTGACCTGGAGGGGCAGGGCCTACAGAGGGCTGTCTTTTCCTCCCTAGAAAACCAGGTTCTAGTTTAGATGAGGGTGGGAAGGAGGCCTGTCTCAATTCCCTGTATCAGAAACTCCAAAACTGAGGCAATTTTGTGATCTCTTGAATATGGAGGTCTTGACCTTGAGAATATTCTGACTAAATAAAAATCTTAACAATGAAAAATTTCTGTGTATTTTCTGCACTGAACTCCACTAAGCCAGTTTAATGCCTTTATCTCCTCCCCCCCCCCCCCCCCCCCCTCCCCCCCCCCCCCCCCCCCCCGCCCCAGACAGGACCTTGCTATGTTGCCCAGCTGCTTTCAACCCTTGGCCTCAAGCGATCCTCTCAGCCCGGCCCCCAAGGTGCCGGGGTTACAGGTGTGGGCCACCACACCTGGCCCCTTGTCCGTTTTCTACAGAGAATAAATCAATTTTGTCATGCAGAAATCATTTTCCTTAAGAATTCTCTTCCACTGGATGCAGTGGCTCACACCTGTAATCCCAGCACTTTGGGAGCTGAGGCCCAGGAGTTCAGGGCTGCAATGAGCTATGATTGTGCCACTGCATTCCAGCCTGAGTGGCAGGGTGAGACTGTCGTTAACCACTCCGGCACGGTGCTCACCGGCTGTGAAACCTTCCCGCAGTAGTGTGTGCTGCGCATTGACGACGAATCCGTTTTGCGCGTGTGTAGTTTTGCTCGTGTGTGGTGAGGAAAGCTTTAAAGCACTGAAAGCTTGTTTCACTTTATAGGCAGCTTTATTTGTAACGTAAATCAGAATAGGTAACATATACATATATGTTTTTATTACGTTATTTTTAAATGTTCACAATTTTATTTTGATAAATGAAAAATTAGAAAAGTCCTATCACAGCTGTCGGCTAACGTCGACGCTTGGCTGTGCGCCCTCATCTGTGGCTGTCGCCTATAGCTGATGCTCGTACCGAAGTGGTTAAGAAAAATAAAAATTCTTTTCCTAGAAAACTTGACAAATGATCAGTGATGAGGTTTTTAGTCCATGTGATGTTTTTCAACATTCCTGTGTGTTTATTTCTACCAAATCTTTTTTTCTTTTAGGTAAAATTTGTTGATTTAAAGTTGGCCTGATTTGATCCCTGTGGCTTTTTGTAATTTTACCATCTGAGTATTTCATCCTCATCAGCTTTAGTGTTACTAATAATTGTTGTTTGAATATAAAACAATTATTGAGTAGCATCTTTAGATGTTGCATGAGAAAATCGGGAGCAGTTCTTGCCAGAAATTCCTGATCTGAGCTCGTGTGTCCCCAGAGGACTGTCCTGTGGCTCCAAATCCTGTCCTGTGGCCCCAGCCTTGGACAGTGAAGAGCAGGCCGGCTCTTTAGTCACCCTCACAGGCCGAGGATGCAAGCTTGCAGAACAGGAAGGTCTGCAGGGAATATTCTGCAGCAGATGCTGAGGAGGGAGAGGAACATGGTCACCAGACCAGGCAGACGCAGGTCCAGGAGTCGCGCCAGCCGCTGCTAACCACCCAGGCCGCCAGAGGAGGGTCTGCCCTGGTGCTGGCAGAACACCAAGGGACAGCCGGGCAGTGCTGGAAGACTGCTGGCCAGCTTTTCTGGATGGTCATTTATTAAGATTTGCCTGGGGGATTTCTTTTACGGCTTTTAAATGCTAGGGAATTTGGAAAGGTGCCCCTCAGATACACCCATGAGGGTGTATCTAAGCCTCTTGGGGACCTTATTCAAGTGCAGATTCTGACTCTGGGTCTAGGGTGGGTGAGACCCAGCATTCCTAACAAGAACCAAGGCGACACCTTTGAATAGCAAACACTTAGGAGAATTTGGTGGTGTGGGACTTCACCTTTTCCAGATTAACTACGTAATTTTGATAATTCATCGTGATCGAAAGGATTTTAAACGTTTAATATTTGGATTTTATGTCCTCAGTTGCAAGTCAGCACTTTCACACACTAAGTATCGGTGCCCACAGGACCACTGGTGATGGTCACAGGATGTCATGACCACAGTGGGCTTTGGTGGCATTGTGGCCACCTCAGGGGCAGCCAGGGTCACTCAGGTTCCAAGGATGCCGGATCAGTGTGACTGCCCGTCCAGTGGCCCCAGAACATTCCCCTGGGCTCACTGTCTCAGCTGCTTCCTTTTGTGCCCAAGTACAGGCAGCCCAGTGGTCAGTATCACACCATTTACCTTTGCTC